CATTTTAACGTGTTTTCAGTTCAAATCGTGTTTTCTCCACATGATTCATGCATGTCGATCTTTCAACTATGGAAATCGAAAGAGATAAGCATCATTTATTGTGGAAGTTCAATAGTTTCATTAGTAGATCCAGTTTCATCTTCCAGAATTTTTAAAATTCACAAAAATATGCGGATTTCATCAAAATAAAAAATGTGTAGATTTCTCGGATACCCGACGGAAAAATCACATTCTGAAAGTTACCTACTCAATTAGGGATGGGATAAATCTCATGCATTGGGCAAAGGGAAAAGCTTCGATTCTGAAATTCTACCCACTTGCTAGAATGTGTTCACAATGGGGCACAGCAGATGGGTTGACTACCAAAGATAGCTGGAATTGACGCTCGGCGAGAGGCTCACTGCTGACAATTTTGCCAGGCATGTAAGCGAGGGTAAATGGGTTTGATGTTCAACCAATGGTAGGTTCCTACTTGCTTCGTTGTATATGTAGGGGAGACCGGGGCTGGTCGCCGCACTTTTTTGAATTTATTTTATGACGGCTACTATAATTAATATTTTTTAAAACCCATTGTTGCCGTGAAAAGTCCTATATATTTGCAACATAAAATATTTTTTTTTGTTTTCTTATCTCATATCGTTTTGATACAAATATATATTTCCTTCAGTAAAGCAGAGAGCGGCAACCTACCCCTCTAACGGGGTTGGTTGACGCACCACATGGGGTAGGTTGCCGCATACAAAAATGATTGTAAAAAAATAAAGAATGTGTGATTTTTTATTTTCTAATATTAAATTTTGACAAGAAAAATGTTTTTATTTTTTTTTAATCAAATAGGTACATTTTTTTAAACCTAACATTATTAGAAAATTTACCTAATGAACTCAGGTAATAAAAAGTAAAACTAAAAAAACAGTCAAATATCTTATCTTCTCCCACACATTCTTTGTGTGCCCACCCACTGCATGAAAAACATCTAATCCATTCCTCACCCGGACGACTGTTTGTAAAAGTATCAAGGCAGTAAGCGCATAGACACTCATCTTCATCGCTCGATTCTTCAGCCAATTGTTTTTTATTTACATTTTTCTTCTTTTTATTTTGTTTTTTGTTTTCTTTGTTATTTTTAAGCTCTTTTCTTATTGGAACTTTTTTTGTTTGTTCATCTCTGAGTGCCTCTTTTATTGGCGTATCTGTCAAAATCTCGGTGTGAGGCCTTTTTCGAGTTCCTTTATTCTCATTTTTTCTTGGTGGAGCTTTTGGCAGGGGCTTTAGCTCAAATGGACTGACTGTTTTTTTTTTTGGTGTTCAACTCGGTATCTTCTTTGGCTAATATGTTAATATTTTTAATTATTTGCTTTTCCGGAGTTTTTTCTTCGAGCGGTGGGTTTATCTCAGAAGTTTTTGGCATTGAGCTATCAGCGTTAAGAATTTCAGAATAATCCCGAGATGTTCCTGGTTGGGGACTAGTATATTGAGATATTTTAGGTTTAGGGCTATTATTAGGTTTCCTGTCAATTTCATCATCTTTTGCTTGCTCAATAAGTGGGCGGTCAGTAGCATAAGAGGGGAGAAATTCGTCTTCAGAAAAGACACATTCATTGAATGGATAAACTCCTGACACTTTAAACCCTGCTGTTATGTTCTTTGGTGTTATTGCGCTTGGCAAAGCTACGGCCACAATTTTAGGGACATCGTAGATGGTCATACTAGACCCTGGATGACTGGTTATCCAACCATCGCATGCTGTATTTACATATTTTTTTAAGGGCCCATACACTGATCTGTCCAGCGGCTGTAGCTTGTGAGAGCAGTGTGGCGGAAAGGACAACACCGTCACTCCATTCTCTTTAAGATAGTCCAAAGAATCGATTGATAAATGGGAGTCATGGTTGTCTAACAACAGAAGTACCGGCCTTTCTTTGGAGCAACCAGTGTGCTTAACAAAATGTTGACACCAGTGCAGAAAATGCTCCTTTTTCATCCATCCAGACTGATTAGCTGCGCCAGCGCTTCCAGGTGGGGCACCAGAGAGCATGTGCTCTCTAAAGTTAACGCGTGGAAAAATAAAATAGGGCGGAATGCTATTACCAATGACGTTTACAGCTATCGCGAGAGTCACTAATGTGCCTCTTTCTTGAGAGGTGATTCGACCTACTTGTTTAAAGCCCCTTCTTGCTACAATTCTGTCAGGTTTTTGAACGGTCGTAATTCCAGTTTCATCCATATTGTAGATATCCTGAGGACCAATTTGTAGCCTATGCAGAACTGTTTTCAGATTTTTAAAAAAATTACCTACACTGTGCTTATTGAATCCTGATGCTCGTGCCAAACTTGTGGCTTCCGGCGTACGTATAGACAGACCAGCGTGTCTTTTAATAAAATAGGTAAACCAATCTTGTCCGGCGCATTTATTAGTATTCCAGGAATCGGGAAATTTAATTTTTAGTGAGACAGCCCATTCATAAGCAAAAGTTCTTATCTGTTTTGGTGATAAGCCAAAGTATACATCGCCATTCTTTAATATATATTCCTCTAATTGTTTCTCTTGGTCGTCGGAGAAAACCTGAAAATGAAGAAAATGTATTAAATAATTCACAAGCACACTGTTTACTAAAGTGCCCAATAAGTAATTATATTTTTTTACCTGTCTATTTTTTATATAGCCGACTGCAGTTGTAGGTAGTTCATTAGTGCCATAAAGCTCTTCATCCGTGACTTTCTGCAGAAATCGTCTCAGGGTTCTTTCAGGGATATCGTAATCGGTTCCTGCTCCTCTAATGGATTTATTATTTAATTAGACCTCTCTTGCAGCCCTTAGCATAATGTGTGCTGGTGTCTTACCCCTTTCAGTGGTTCTTTTACGGTTTCTCATATTCTATGAAGATAATAAAACGTTTTTAAATATGTTTTTCCAAATTATATGTGTTGAGTGTAGGAGTGAAATATATATTTATTATTATGTATACTCACTCTTCTTTGTACAAATTGATCTACAAAGACTTTATTTTTTACATATATTGATTTATTTTAATTTATGGCGTAATACGATAAAGAGTTACAAGTGGTTGGAGATAACAGTTATGTGTTACTCGTTCGCAAGTTGAGACGAATCTGTCATGCTGTCGACGTATACAATATCTTTCGCATGCAGCTATGTGTTTAATATTATCCAATGCTATTCTATTGGTTGATTAGGGAAGAGTAGGAGTGTTAAGAAAGGTTTAAATGCTAAGGTATAGATAGGACGTCATAAGGGTGGAGCTAAAGGGAATAAGTCGAGAGTAGGCGTGAAAGTGAAAAGTGGATACAGGTTAGGTCCAGTTAGATGCAAATGTGAAGCTAAGGTAGGGATAATGAGCGTAAAAGTTGAAAGGGAGATTTCCAGATGGAGATAGCTAATAAGGATGAAAAGCGGTAAACAGGAAGTTGCTCGTCATCACAGTAATACGGGGATCTACTTTTGTTTTACCCTTGTTATTTTTCTATTTACGTGGAATACGAGTAACTTCTATAGGTTACATCGGATACAGGTGGTCATTCGCTATGATTATGTTAGAAGTTAAATTATTCATGCTAAGCTTATCGTTAAAATTACGTATATATAAATAAATACATTTTTGCGTCGCAACAATATGATTTAAAATCCAAAGTGGGGATGGTTGCCGCATGCGGCAACCTGCCCCTCAACAAATGCGGCGACCGACCCCAAAGCGTTTTTTAAAATACTTTTGCGTTTATTTTTTGTCTGGTAACTAAAGTGGTTATTAAAAATATGTTACTAAAAAATAGATTTCCGTAGAATTCTGACGGTCTACTTCGTTTTATATTGTTACTTTTACATCAAAAGTTATAATAAAAACAATAGAAAAAATAAATTCACTTACGAGCATCAAAATAACACTTGACGGCGTGTACTCACTTCTATTGCACTGATCAGTCTGAAACGTTCCACAAAGTTCGGGCGCGACTTAAGCTTTAAAACACGAGACGCGGCATTGTCGCCATATTTATAGTTTTGGGGAAAAAGCCAGTGCGGCTACCAACCCGTGCGGCTACCAGCCCCGGTCTCCCCTACATATGTATGTGCAAATGTATATATATATGACGGAGAGTATATGAATAATAGATACCTTATTTGGTATAAGAACCTTACACAAAACTGCACTCTATGAAGAAATGCTGCAAGCATTACCGTGGTGGGATGTATGGCGAACGACTGAACGACTTTCAGTGAGTATGCCGCTTCTGGTCGAGCTTTTCTGTCTGAGTGTGGTCATAAAAGCTTACCTCTATCAAAAAAAAATGCGCTTTGTATCCAATAGTGTTTTTGAACTGGTATTCCCCGACTTCTAATCAAGCTACTTTTCCTTATGAGAATGCCAAGTGCTTGAATTTCTATGTATAACACATAGTAACTTTACCTTTGTATGGTGATGATAATATAATATTGAATGTCTACTGACACTGAAATCTAAAGGCAAATGTGGTAAGTAGTATCATCTGTGATGCAGGGTGCCAAAATGACCACTGAGGTGCTTGCAATTAAGCAAGAATGGTGCTAGGATCTATGGAAGCAGTGTGCTATATTGTGCATATAATAGACATGTCCTTTAAAACATCCATAGGGTATCATATTTGTATGAAACCCTCTACTAAATGATTCATCTACATCCACATGCATAAAGTTGCCACTGATGACCATTGAAGAAAAAATACATACTGGAGCTCCTCACTCTACTTTTACATGCTCCTTAATCATCTGAGCTCTGGGTCAGTGCCATACACTGCAAAATTTTGCCTTGATTGCTACACCCCTTGTTGCCTGACAAACAATAAAAATCAATATGAATTTAAGTATTATGCCTCAGGCAAATACATTAAATTACTATTCTTATTAAATCTATCTGTGTCAGCAGAATTACTTTCCTAAATACATATGGTTTTATTAGCTAATTGTATGGATGATCTTGTGGTTTTATAAATCCACAACCCATTACCAGATATTTGTAGAAACTGGTCAGCATCACTGTTACATGGAAAAATAAATCTTTTCATTTTTGGAAAGTCTGGCAAATGATAAATTCGACAGTGTATGTTGTTCTTGACTTGGCATTTTGTATCAATTTCTTTGAGCAGCAATAATTGAGATTTAACAGCTGCATCATCCAATCTTTTCAGACATGCTTCTGGACTTTTCAACAATTGATTTACTATTCCAGGCTGATGCTCTAGAAGAACTATAAAGCTAAAAGGAAAATCAATGAGGTGAATGCATCTTTCAATAGGAATAAAAAAAATACCTACTTTATCTGGATGGAGTAATGTTTAGCAGTTTGGTCTTCTTTCAATATCTCCAAAAGATCATCTTTATGAAACGTTACTAAATAATCTTCGCACATAATTGGTTTTTAACTAAATGTATAATAGTAAAAGTTTGTTTTTGCTTATATTCGTTTGAAAATTCAAATGCTTCAAATTCTAACCTCCCATAAACCACAAAACATATCCATAATCCATATCGGTGACATAATAGATAAGATGTGTGCTTGAGACTAATCTAGCAAATTAGGAATTTGGGCGGGGTTTGATATGTGGCCATGCGCACATATCAATTATCTCTTTGTTGGTTCGTCAATGCGAATTCGGAAGTTCGTCACGTGCTGCTTATTTGTCGAGCCATTGTACAAATTCTACAATTCGTTAGTACATCTCTGAATTTATTGTTTCGTGGATGTGGCGTGACGCCGTGACAAGCTTCGAACAGCTGATTTTAAATGACATTTATGATAAACCATCCAAACATTATTCATATTCATATGGCTCAAATTAAAAAATTGCCTTTAGGTTCTATTTATTTTTAGAATGTTTGGAATTAATGGTTTAACTGTTGTATATATAAGATATTCGAATGTGTAAGCATGGCAAGTGCAACAAATGGTGGTGAGAGCTATAACTTCAAAGTCGTTCTACTCGGCGAAGGATGTGTCGGAAAAACTAGTTTAGTACTGCGTTATGTGGAAGATAAATTCAATTCAAAGCATATCAGTACCATACAGGTAATTGTAACCTTTTATATTCAGACTATGTCACTGGTATAAAAACAATATTTTTGTACATGATAATTGAATATCAATAGAATGTTTTTTAAACTGGTCAATTTATTTTTATATAGCCAAGCTTGTAACTATCATAAGCAAGGCAGAGCTGTGCGAAAATTAACTGGTATGAATGTGTGATAATTTGACTAGACCAATGGAATTTTTGCTCCATCACAGTAGGTACTATTTTTCGGTTGTTGTTTATAAAAATAATGCAAAACAATAGTGTAAAGTTGACTCCATACTTCCCATGCAATGTCATTATCAGTTCATAAGGGATTTTGCTAAGCACAAACTTGTCTCTCTGAAAAAAGTCATTTAAACAGGTCCATGCAATTAGACTATAGACCTTTTTTCCCTGCTCTACCAGTAGTCCATCTGGCAACATATTCTCTTCCTGATATCTAACCCAGTCAGAAGTGACAGCACTGCCACAGCATAGGCGTATGCTATGATGCGGCAGTAATACCAGATCACTTACCAGGATGGGCATGCTGCCAGGAGTAGAAGTATATGTGGTATCTAGGTACGCGTTCCTTCTGCTGCGAATAATTTTCCAAGTTTTAAGGACGTATGGGGAAATCTATGATGTATGAAATATGTCTAATAGGTTTGTAGAATAACCAAGGTTGGGAGAGTTTAAATTACTAGCACCAAAAAGTTAAGACATACTCTTCCCACCCCCCTACAACCACCACCCCTGAATTTTCTACCTCTAAAAATTTGTTTCAAAATGATCAGATCGCTCTGAAACATGAAAAAACTACTATTCTGTGTCAGCATCAGCGCTGTCCTTTTGTGAGGCTACATTTAAATTGTAGGAAATTTCAGGCTGATATAACAGATGATATAAATCAAAAGCATGAGCAACTTGATGCAAATAGATTTTGTAACATAACCTCAAAATCAAGCACTGACATGCATCAGTAGAAAACTATGAAAATCAAGGCCATAAAGGCGTCCTACAATCGTAAGAACGACTTATGGTACAGCCTTTACTTTGAGAGTTTTTAATTTCTGGTCCTAATTGGTCTTTTTTCTGCTGCCACTGGACCAATGTTTAAAAACTACAAAGCCTTCTCATCCTTGGCATAGTAGAAACATAGTGAAAACATTTCACCAAAATCCAAGCAGTCAGACAGACAGATGGAAATGAGTGACATGGTTTTTTGTGATGTAACAGTAGGTATGGAAGGTAAAATGCGGCTAATGTGAAACTTGGGACATACTATAATAATAATAATAATAATAACACCTTTATTCATATTTTGTACATGTGAGGGACAAAGATAGCGAAGTTTAGCTTGAGCTACTCTTACACTTAACTACCTTTGTCTGTACTTTAAGCACGATGTTGTGTGCAATTCCAAAAAAAGAGAAAAAAAAATATATAAGAAACACTAAGGAATACAGAAAGGTTAAATAACTAATCAACTAAACTAAAGTACACTACAACTATATACACTATGTACACGTATGCCTAAACGGCTCAGAAAATCAGTTATATAAATATCAGGGAAGAGTGACCATAAATTGCTTGATTTGCCTTCGAAAACTAGCAAAAGACATTTCCCTGTACTTTCTGGGCAAAGCATTGTAAAATACGGCAGCATTATACGAGAAACAACGCTTGAAAAGTGTCATAGAGTGTGGAGGTATCCTGACCATAATACGGTCCCTGGTAACCCTGTCATGAATTTCTCGATTAAATATGATCTTTTCTCTCAGGTATGCAGGTCTTGACGCAGCTATCAACTTGTGCAAAAACACTAAGTATTTGCACCGCACATGTTTATCAATTCTTAGCCATTTCATTTGGCTGTATTTGTCACTAACATGGTCAAATCTCCTCAATCCATGAATAAAGTGAATGCAATTGTTTTGAATTATTTGAAGCCTGCTTTTCATCCGTTCATCAAGACATGGGTAATATAAAATATCACAATAACTGAGAATTGGCAACACAAGAGACTCACAAAGTTTTTTTCTCAGTTTAAAGTTCAGTAGGTGGCGATTGGCATATAACGCTCTCATTCGACCATACGTTTTTTTATCTAAGGACATAACATGCTCCCTAAATCTCAATTTGCTATCTACTTCAACACCTAAAATTGTAGCTGAATTAGCAATCTACAGCAGCGAGCCATCAAGGTTAACTTTAAATGTATTCTTCACGTCACTTCTCCTTGCGTCGGAACAAAATAGTAATATTTGAGTCTTATCTGGATTAATGTTTAGATTATGGTCACTTGAATATTTTTGCACTTTGCTCAGATCCTGCTCTAATAAGGCAGCAGCATCCTGCGAACAAGAGGCGTCAAAATAATGAATGAGTTGAGTGTCATCAGCAAAGCTTAGTAAATCGGAATGTGCGACAGATTTGTGCAAATCAAAAGTGTATATGAGAAATAACACAGGGCCTAGTATGGAGCCCTGAGGGATTCCTGATGGTATCATACTGACTTCTGATAGCCTGCTGCCTACAGAAACGCACTGTATACTATATATATATATAGCTTAAAATTCAGAGAAAATGTCCTTTTTGATTTAGTCTGACATCTCAGCTAAAAAGCTAGCAAATCGAAGCTAAATAAACAAGCCATCTGGTCCATTCTGTGGCTTAGTTGGAATATTTTTGATCAAGTCCATAGAGTTGAAGAAAAAGAGGCAAAATTCCCAATGTTTTCTTTCTCTTTGTAGCTTTCAATTGTTTCCATTAGTCAAGTTACTACATATTCAAGGTAATTCACCACAACTTCAAAACGAAGCTGTCAGTTGCTTAACGGTTGCTTTCAGTAATACAAACACAATTGGTCTATTTAGCTATTTGAGGTTTAGAAAAAATTTGAATTTCAGGCATACCTTTCTCTTTTTTTACTAACCTAAATTGTGTAAAGGCGGGTACTCATATGAGCACGAACGGCAACCCGAGGACGCCTGAGTATTCCTGTGTGTACGCCGGAATGAGGCGTACGAATTCGTATGCATTTGGGCTCGACCCGATCCGTTTCTTCGCGGTACATCAAAGTGAGACACATGCTCGGTGCGCGCTCAGTCTGGACGGAAATAAACATTCCATGTCGAGGCGGTCTATTCTGTAGTAACTAGTAGTGCACGGAAAAGGATTATTATTACCAAATATTTTATTGCTTCTTTTTAATAATAATGGAAGAGTTTAGTGTTACGGCTCATTGAAAAATATCAAAAGAGAGAGATATTATGGCGGCCAAGAGATCTTTTAACAAAGCTGAGCTATTTTCATTCAATTCTCTTCTTCTGCTAAGATATAATTGTGACGTCCATCGTTTTGGTTTTTTCTTGTTTTTCTTGCATTGGTTCAAATTGTAAAATACGCAGAGCGTTCATCATCAGAATCTGAATCGGCCATATTTTAAAAGCTACTGAAATTCAAGAATGCTCACCATATCCTATGGATCGATGCCGTACAACGCATCGTGCGTCCACTATTCAGGAACCCGAACTTCCCGTAATCGAGGCAAATGGTTCGTTCTCGGGTTGCCTCATTCGCGTTCGTGATCATATGCGTACCAGCCTTAATATTCGGGATAACATACAGGTTTTGAAAATAACTGTTTTGATAAAGTTAGAAATCACAGTTTTCCCGAGTGCTCTCCGCCATAGTACTTAGCACACAAGGTGTTGTACATGGTACATGAACCGACAACATTCTTTGGATAATTGGGGACGCTATTTGATGATTTTGAGTGAAAACGGTAATGCTCTAACGGCTACGGTTCAAAATATTTCACTTTTTCTTACGTTTTTATGCTGAATTATTTGATACTGCGTATAAATATCATTATACTGTTTTGTTTGTCGCGATACTAACCCAGAATAAATGTGATCGGGTTGGTTAAAGCATGTTTAATCAGAGCAAATAAACAGTTCATACAACGACCCAGAAAAAGATCACTTATAACCTTCCAAAGTCATAAAATAGGGCGGCGTGAATAAAAAATTTGAAATTCGATTACAAAAACTATACCTTTTTTGGAACTTAGATTCATTTATAAAAGTGCTGTAAACTACTTCCTTTCCAATGATATTCTAGACATTAATCCTCCTACTTATTGTTTAAACGGGTTACGTTAGCAAGCTAAAATTCGGAGTGATGAAATTATTACATGATAGAGTAAAAGTGACGGTTGAAAATTACATGATTGTGGTAGCGTGTCATCTTGGTGCTTTCTTTTTAATAGAAAGAGGGTCATGTGATATCTCATTTTGAAGCTCATTAAAAGTTAGCTAAAGCTAATATAACTCAACATCTATTCATCAAAATGCTATACTGTGTCATATCAGCATTCTTTTCTTGGAAGGTTCTTTCCTGATGTGTATTGGAACATGAGGTATTTCTGAATGGAATGTCAGATATCTTATTGTACAGGTGGATAGACCCTCCTGAAATAAGATTGATATACTGAACATTCTATAACGTTTTACGATTAGTTAATGAAATATAAGTGAATTGATGCACAACAACCCTTAATTGGCAGCCTGCGAATTCGCTTTTTTAAATAAAATAGTAGTAAGTTTATTCTCTATAGTTATAAAGTAATCATTATGAGCTTCAAATTGAGGTATCGTATGACCGTCATTCCATTTAGAAATTGACCAAGGTTGCACCCTAAGTTTTTAGGTAACACTTTTACGCCATCGAAGGCAAATTATTAAAAAGTCATAGCTACTACCATGTGTTGACAAGTACCTTCAACTCACACTGACATCCATCCAACTCATCACAACAGAGCGCTACTTTTTCTCTCCTGAACGCACATTATCATTTTGAGCGCTACCAGGCGGTCGTCATTTTTATCATCATAACCAAAATGTGATCCGCACTTAATCACGTGATTCATCAAATTCTGTTTTATGGGGTTCAAAGTTTTTTGTTTGATATGCCTGGTTTGAAAACGACGTAGATGTCTTTTTAACATATATGATATACAATAATTACAATACATTCTCACTGTAGGCTTCCTTCTTGAACAAGAAGATTAACTTGGATGGAAATCGGGTCAACCTTGCTATATGGGACACTGCTGGCCAGGAAAAGTTCCATGCTCTTGGACCTATTTACTACAGATCATCTAATGGAGCTGTGCTGGTGTACGATATCACAGATGAAGATTCGTTCCAAAAAGTAAAGAGTTGGGTAAAGGAGTTGAGAAAAATGCTTGGTGTAGATATATCTCTTGTGATTGTTGGAAATAAGAGTGATTTGGAAAAAGACAGACATGTCACCCTTGAAGAGGCCAAAGAGTAAGTATCGAATGTTTAAGCTCCTCACTGCAAATCTGAATCTGTGTTTAATAATTAGCCCTAACTCTGATTGAGGATTTGTTAAAATTTGTATATCAGAGCTATCATGTCGTCTTGACTAAAAGTGAACTGTCATTGTTTTCTTTTGTTAAGTCTCATCTTTTTGTTGTGAAGTTGATTGAACAATAGAATGGGATACATTTGCATTATATTGTACATTATCACCATCAAATTAAGATCGTTCATGTGCAGTTATCGAGGGCCAAAGTTCATTGATATATGTGTCTGCTGTAGAACTGATCACCCTGGGTGTTCGGCAGGTTGATACCAAGCTTCTAAAGGGTGATCATACACTCCATTTGGAACACAGTGAGCCACATATACCTTAGAACAAGGTCCAATCGTTTTTGAATTCCTAGTAAAAAGCCAAAATCATGTGAGAAACCATCACTTAATCGATAATGAAGAGCAACTCCTTTGTTCTATTATCCTTATCATTTATCTTGATTGTTCAGTTTTCCTATATAAATAGTTTCAAAGTTGTCGAAATATCGCGTTATAAAAAATAACTGATATATAATGACTTTCCGAACGAATTTATGGAAAAAAATTGGCAGTAGTGTAATCTAAAATCAATGAAAAAACATTCTCCACTGCTGCTCTTTCTGGTGGTGTGCCGTGCAAAGCGATACAACCATAATTTTTCCCTGAATAACCTAAAATATTAGATCAAGCATAATGTCATCGAAATTACAAAAAAATCTACGTTTCATGTTACACTTTCTATTGACAACAATATTAATTCACTCGATAACAAAATACAAATTATTTCTTACGCATTTTCGCACCCTTGGTTCGTATTTCAATAGTAGTAGTCAGTTCACTGAGAGTGATTTGGTTTGACAGTACCATGTAGCTTCTCCGAAGATTTACTGGAAGGATAAGGCAACTGCATAAATTAAAAATATTTCAAAAATATGAAATGTAATATAAATAAATCAACATTTTTATATTGTTTTGCCTGTGATGAATTTTATTGAAACTGATTTGTATCTTAGTATCATAAATGTGATAACTTTTTTTCTTATTTTTTTTTTCTTTTTTATGTAGTTTTCCAGTCTAGTCTTGGCTCATTTAAAAGTTATATTTCATTGTTGCCTCGCGTTGTTTTACTCTATTTTTAAGTTGTCTTGCATTCTAATTACTCTAGGGTGTTTTGTGAGACTTTAAGCAAATAAATAAATAAATAAATAAAAACATTGCTAAAATCATTTCAAAACTTCAGAAAAAATGGTACACACCATAAGTTCAAAACCGTGATAGACCATGTATTTTTATGATATAAATAAATAAAGGACTATTCGTCATGTCATTTCTAATACATGATCGTGCCCTTCATACTTCTGTGGTCACCAGATCTAACTAAGGCTTGATTTTTATGTGCCTAATCAAAGGAACTGGTTATACGACGAAACAACTCCCAATGAGCATTTGATTTGCAAAATTTATGAATTGCTAGCCTCTCGCCCTGCGGTTTTACGTGCAGAGCGTATAGGGCGTCACTAATAAAATAAACAAATTTCCCAAGCTTGCAGCTTGGCTGTCAATTTGCTAAGCTAATGCCATCTAAGTTACAAAACGTGATGGCAGGCCGCGACAGTAGAACATTGTTAAATGTCATTGCAAAATTGGCGATGAGTTCGTCTATAAACCATTCCTATACTCTTCCTCGGGTATCAATTTATAGTCCCATTTCTTTCATTTACACCCAAAAACTATGACCTAAAATCATTATTGCATCTAGAACAGTTGGTCTAATCTAAAATTTCGACACTTTTTCACTAATAGTTATCCAGTCAAGTTTGTGGTTTTGTTGATACAATAGACTATCTGGATGATCATCTCTTCATCATTTTTTACTACTCCAATAAATATGAAAATAGTAACATCTCTAGGTCTCAGAGGCTACTATAGAATGTTTGCCTGTGGGCCCTGTCATATCTACCTATGCTATATTTGCTAATAAGTCAATAGGCAAGAATATTATTTCCTTGCAATTTCATACCCTGTGAAAGCATACTCCAGACAGTGCTAAGTGGCAGTAAATGCAGCCATTAACACCAAAAGCAACTGTGACTACAACCAACTCAGCACATGTATTCATATATAGCGTTCTAACCAGAGCGACAGCAAAGGGACGAGTTTTTATTTTATTAGTTACATCTTAGGAACACAATTTTCGATAATTACAAGCAAGGGGTGGAGAGTTTAACTGACTAATGTGTTCATATCTCATTCACTCCCCAACAAAACAAACAATATCACGCGACGTTTACGCTTGCGATGAAAAATGGAGCAGAATACGAGTGGTATTTTGACTTTTATTTTCTCAAGCTTTCGGTCAACTATGCAACCATCATCAGGAGGTGGAACTGATACTACTTTCAGCAACATGTTTCATTTGGCGGGCTTCGCAGTGACGTCATAATCCTCGACATGTCATTCGATTGTCTGTTTGGTTAATCCTGTAGTTTCAATTGAAAAAAAACAAGCATGGATGAAGAACAAAAACAAAGTACTATATTGAACCTATTTACACAAAAACTATACGGAAAGTACAGGATAAAGTATTATCTCATATTCCGTGGGATGCTACCACAAAAGTGGCGTAATATTATGAAAAGAGATAATATTTTTGTTCAATAAGTAATTCAAATTGTTGTGAAGATCATTGTGACGTAAGTACAGATCACAGACGTACCGTTTTTCCCAAATATTAGTTTTTATCTAACTTAGATTACAAAGATAATGCATTTTTTTCAATTTTTGCTCTCAGTAATTGTTGATTGCACTATGGCTATAACATATTCTGTCAAACTGATCAACCATCATACTGACCGGTTGGTAATCATTGAGACATTGAGAGTGAAAACAAAGGCCTGCCAGTTTAAACCAAACTGATCAATCAGAAAAGGGTTGACTGGCCACACGTCGAAATAGTGACACGCCCATAGTTGTTACGTTTCCATATTCTATTTGACGCAAATTTTTCAATTGTTATTAATACTCGTAATTGTAGAGCGCTTAAGTATAAAATAAGGTTGAAGGTGTCATTCTGTAGCAATATAGACTGTAAATACGAATAAATAATTGACATTTGAATCACATGCCTATTCTCTATTGTACAAAAAAAGGTCATAATGATACGTTGAAGATAGGCTTTTTGGAAGGTCGTATATATTTTTGTACATGTGGTCGTCATTACACTTTAACTTATGTTTGATCTTTATTTTTAGATACGCGGAAAAAGTGAAAGCGCTGCATTTCCAGACATCAGCAAAATTGAATGAAGGTGTAGAAGATATGTTCCTGGCTCTAACCCAGAAAATGCTTGATGATGCCAAAAAGAAAAAAGCGCAGGAGAATTTATTGATTGGTCAAAATTCCCAAAGAACTGTCACAGTAGTGGATGATGAAGCTGAGACAACGAAAAGAGGCTGCTGTGGATCAAATTGATCATATTTTAGATTGATGCTGATACTGAGGAAAGGTAAAATTACCAGGACCCTACACAACATTTTCCATTAATGATAAAACCAATATATAGTATCAGAATTTTGATGAAAGTTAATTTAGGGGGAATATTGCTTCATCATTTAAAGTTACATAATGTGTTTTGCAAAATTTTTATGCTTTTAATTTCTCAATGGGATTGTAAACTAAAGTATTATGATTTTAAATGTTTTCTCTTATTACAAGTGATATTGTAAATTTGCTTGGTGATACTTCAATAGATTAGATATGATTGTTAATTACCAAGAACCTTGAACTTGGTAAGTCGGAGCAGTTTATTCATTGATGAATATTGATAGTGATGTATTATTATTTAAGATTTTATATTTATTTTTTTTTAAGATGCAATTGTATAATGCTTGGATATCAATACCGAAAATATGTAGCTTCATTTAGACCAACACACATTTTGAATTCCATTACTCTTTGTTATGGTTTATCCATTTGTTGCAATATTTTCTTAGAAATAGGTTTTTGAATTACCTTATATACCTACTTCGGCAGTTGTTTCATATGACAATAAAAACGTGACTATCATTTCACGTTCATTTTTGCTTCCTGCACCACACACATATGGTGGGACCACTATGAGATGTAGTCAGCAACTTTTCTGCTTAACCTAATATTTCCCGACATAATAACTCTATAGTCTGTTGTTCATGTTAAACGAGCAAATAAAGATGCTTCAAAAACCTACTTTGCAGTCTGGCAGTATTCGATTTTCGCCGCACCTGCGATTTGCCTAATGAAGCGTTGGAAACTCATCATGTGGCTGCCTTTTCGATCCAACGCATTTCGTTAGTTATCATTCTAGCATCTTTTTCTTTATCGAATCTAAGTCACCAGTTACTCCGCGATCTGATTAGCCACTCCTCAGGCTTTGCTTACAATATTCTGGTGCCCCAATTTGACTTGGAAAACTCTGCATGTGTGGCCGCCCTTGGATAAGGGTTCATTTGGAAGATAGCCAACACTAAAATCCATACAAAGCCCGGACAGAAGAGTACGATGGGGAATTGGTATTTAGTTAGCCTTGGCCATTTGGAATGCACAAAACAAAATCGCGATACCTTAGCAACAAAATATAATTTATTATAAGTAACATTGCAAAGTTTCATGTCAATAAGCTTAAGCATTACAAAACAAGAAATTTTTAACGTAAATATGACTGCAGTGAGTGTAAAAATGGATAAAATGGAATATCATTAAGTACCTGTATTTGAATGGCTTACAGGGCAAGGAGATGTTTCGAGGACATGGTCAATACCCTTCGTGATGACTGCACTTCATATGTCACTGTCAAAAATTGGGTTGCTTGCTTTAAAAGAGGAAAGTTATTTATTCAGGATGATGAGAGACCTGAAAGTTCCGTTACAGTGTAAACCTCGGAAAATGTCGATGTAGTTCATGATTTGATATTATCAGACCGTACTTATCTAATAGGTTGCAACTTGAGCTGTGAATGGTAATATTTCTCAACTTGAAGCTATTAAAAGAGGTGCGCCCAAGGGAAGCATTCTTTGTTCTTTACTGTTTACTTTGTATACTGTGGATTTGGGTGAACATCTTGAATTTTGTTAGGTGCGTCAATACACGGATGGTACTCAGACTTACTACTCGTTCAGTAAAAGTGATCACAATTTAATACTAAATAAAAGTAAGACAGAGGTATAACATTCGGAAGCGAAGTGGAAGTGATCAACAATAATCATCAATTTGTGATCAAAATTAATAAAAAAACTGATTTCAAAGAAAAACTGTAAACAATTTAGGCTCTACATGGATGATTAAACTTTGGAAACATATTAAACAGCTACTAAAAAAATCATGCTGGAATGAAAGCTCTTTACGTTCACAAACACAGTCTCACATCAAAAGTGAAACTGAAATTATGTGACTCTTTGATACCATCTTCTTTAGCTTACGTATTCATCAGAATATGATACATTGGCCAATTTAGAGAGATGGCTTAGATAGACAACTATGTGATATAGTAGAAAATCATATTTGGTTAATGTAACATTTGACACTTACCCTGTGGTTTTCATGTCGATAATTCTCCATTTTTGTATGGCCAGTGAAACGACATGTATTTAAAATTCTCTAATATATACGATAAGGTATTAGCCCGATTTTTCTAAGCCGAGGCGCCAAAAAGCTAGTGAGTCACAAATTGAACACATGGGAAGGCGTCTTTGTAAGTAATGGATCTAATGGATATATGGTCGATTTATTGCAAAATGTCTCAAACTGGAGAATAATTAATTATATGATTTGTGTAATTCCTATATTAAATTAAGAAATACGTGATAAATCACTTGGTTTAGGTACAAAAACTTATTTTTTCATTTGCGTTAGAACATTAAACAAGCGGCCATGCTCATATAATGCACCACTGAAAAATAAGGCATGTGCACAAATCTGATACAATATCAGATTGATAAGTCTCCAATTAAATTACATTTTATTGAAAATAACAGTGTCTCACTGGTGCTGTAAAAAATCTGCTTGATAAATTCTTTGACAACATAAATTATAGAATGCGAATTCTAGTTAGCTATCCACTACACCACTACCTCTTGGTCTACTGGATCTTTATATCACTATACTTGACACAGGCAAATGTCAAGTGAATGTTGTCGGCGCATGAAATCTGTTATAAACAATTAGAATAATCTGAAAACTATACAAGATACAATGCCGAAACTTTAAATAATATATTAAGAGTATTTTGCCTAATTTTTCAGATGGTCAGTTCTCTACAATTGGTTGATATTTGATACTGTTTTTTCGGTTTCTGGAGTTTATTTTCCAACATTTTGATGTCGCAGTGATTTTAGTGGTACGAGATTTTGATAACAATGTATACTATATTAAAACTTTGGAAAAAAGGACCAGGGAATTATGTTTCTTCGAAAAGAAACTGGATTACGTGACCTACTTATTTGACAAAATCATGCAGTCATCAATAATGCAGCCATTTAGCACATGTTAGATACTAACTAGTCTAAGACAGTTTGAAACATAATTGTCTTCGGTTTGCGTGCTAACCTTGTAAACAGTTCAGTGCATTTCAGTATGAAATTATTTTTTTTGTAAATGTTAAGACTCATCTGTTTTCGTATCTCGTCAGCTCTAAATATGTATACACAAGAGTTTGAAGAAATCTTGAAAACATTTTTTTCTTCGCAACAAAAGGTGATACACAGATCCGCTCTGTTTTAAAATGTGTAAAATAACGTATGTTTTTCGAATATCGTAGCGGATCTGTCCAATTACTCCCAAACACGAAATGTTTGTATTTGTTTACAAGAAAAAACGTAACCCTTCGATTTTCGAATAAAAATAACATTTATCGTTCGAACTGGTTTGTGAGTCATATCTGCGAAGTAAGCTCGTGTTTTAATATTAACCCTTTGAGCGAACCTTGTATATTACTCAATAAACTAGAAATAGTGGCCGGAAGACGGGTGTTTTGGTATAAACAATTAGAAATTGTCAAAAACTACTTGACCAATCGGCCCGAATTTTGCTGTGGTTATTAACAAGTTTAAAACCTACCGATGTGAGTTATTTTAAGTATCTGCGTGAAAATATGGTCCACTTACCAACAAGTACTAAAACTTGCACCGGTCATAGCTTTTTTGCTATTAGTCGAACCCTTTTATATGATATCTCATTTTGTAGGTTTCTTGCATACGTAAAAATCGGAACATAACTATTGAAATAAGACCATTAGAATCGATCACTGCAAATTGGAGGCCCAGTCACCACGTGACCGCATGATGACCACGTTCTAGCTGTTTAGTAGATGTGGTCTACTTGCCATTGAACAAATGGCTCCGTTTTGGACCGTCCGTGCAAAGACAGCCAACCAAGGTCAGCTGTTTCGTGCTTTTTAGCTATTCCTCAGCATAGTCTATGTTTGGGTCTCTCGGACAATGAACGAAATAACATCAACTATGTCGCAGTGGTCGATTCTAGTGGTAGATGACGCTTCGCGTTGTCTTATTTCGATAGATCACACATTTTGTACAGGATCCGGCACAAATTTATTGACGGATTCGGATTCACAATGAAATAGCGTTTGTCACAACTAAGTGTGGAAAATCACATCAGTCATGTGATGACCGTTTTTGACGATGCATTGCTGGAGGCGTTCTTGAAAGTTCGCGTAGACTCTCTCCAACATCGTTCTCTGAACTTGGGCGACTTCTACGCGAATTGCCTTCTTCAATTCGTCCAGAGTTCGGGGCTTGTGCTCATATACACGAGCCTTAAGGTGCCCCCCATAGGAAAAAATAGTAGAAGAGTACTGAGATGTTCTGAGTACTGTTAATTTTTATTAAAACGGTGTGTTGTTTTTAGTTTATTGTGATCGAGACTAACTTTATGGACAATGCCTAGAAATTGTGTAAATAGTGCGAACAGTTTTTGTTATGTGTGGGGAGAGCTAACTTTTAAATCCCAAAAACGTACTTTTACTCCCCTTGTGTTGAAAGCATACGAACTTTATTTTGGAATTAAAGTTGGTGACCAAGGTAAACTATTGGCCCCTCATATATGTTGTAAGACTTGTGTAACGTTGTTAACAGGTTGGTTAAGAGGCGACAATCGTAAAATGCCCTTTGCGGTACCATTGGGTTTGGAGAGAACCAAGAGACCATACTACTGATTGCTATTTTTGCCTCACAAATATTAAAGGTATTGGACCAAAATTGAGACATACTGTTAAGTATTTTGATTTACCATCAGCTTTGTGGCCCGTTAAGCATAGTGATGAACTTTCTGTCCCAGTTCCAACAGAATCTTGGTCTTTGAATAAAAAAGTCGAATCCACCGATTCTGAAAGTGATGGTACAGAAAGCGTAAAAATTTCCGATCCTTCGTTTGTCCTGCCAGGATAATCAACAGCGCCGCATTTGATCACACAGGGCAAACTTAATGACTTGGTTGAAGAATTACATCTGTCAAAATCCCAGTCAGAACTTTCAGCGTCAAGATTAAAAGGATGGAATCTTCTCCACGGTGATGTTAACATTACTTTTTACCGAAAACGGCAAAAAGACCTCACACACTGTTTCCGTCAAGAAAGGGAGTTGACATATTGCTCCGATGTCAACAATTTGTTTGACGCGTTAGGACAGAAAGATGATCCAAATGATTGGCGCCTGTTCATTGATTCCTCTAAGCTTAATTTAAAAGCGCTATTGGTACACAACGGTAATAAATATCCATCTGTAGATACCTATAGCGCACGCAGTTCATATGAAAGAATCATATGAAAATATGCGAGTTCTGTTAAATCATATCTGTTATAATGAATATGGATGGGCCATATGTGCAGATTTAAAGGTAATAGCGCTTCTTCTTGGAATGCAACTGGGATATACCAAATATTGTTGTTTTCTTTGTGAATGGGACAGTCGTGCGCGAGATCGTCATTATGAACAGGAGTGGCCACTACGTCAGGTATTAACTCCGGGCCTCAAAAACAGTGCTCGTGAACCACTAGTTGATCCCAAAAACGTGTTGCTTCCAACTTTGCATATTAAGTTCGGACTGATGAAAAATTTTGTGAAAGCTATGGATCGAAATGGAAAATGGTTTCTGCATTTAAAACAAACATTTCCGAGACTTAGTGACGCAAAAATTGAAGAGGGCATATTTGTGGGTCCACAAATACGGAAAATCATGAAGGATGATGTATTTGACAGTGCTCTAAAAAATGTAAACTGAATTACGAGCTTGGAATGCTTTTAAATCAGTTACTGCAAATATTTTAGGCAATGTGAAGGCGGACAATTATAAAGATATTGTGAGTGAACTAATTAATGCTTATAAAGGAATGGGATGTAACATGCCTCTAAAAATTCACTGTTTGGATTCTCATCGTGATTTTTTTCCGGAAACTTTAGGTGCGGTAAGTGATGAACATGTTGAACATTTCTGCTATGGAAAAATGGTATCAAGGCAAATGGAGTGTCAATTTGCTTGCTGATATTATTGCTGGACATTGTTAAGAGATATTTCAGGAGCAACATATCGCCGTAAAACATCGACAACAACATTCTGAGATTAATGTTTATTCGAGTGTTTATTAGTTACACACATATCCTTATATTTTACGAGTATAAGCAGCAAATAAAATGCCTTATTGCAAGAAAACCGTGGGCGATAGAAAAAATCGAATGTTATATCCGGCTTTTTTGGTATGTTTTACATAATAACCACCTTGTTTTGACCATGTAAAAAAAATATTTTAATTTTGTTCACCAGTGTTGACATTCATCGTTGCTCTGGCTGTGTGGCCGATCGCCTCATTCTGCTGGAACCGCACACAATGGAATACGTCGTAGTCGTAATTCAGATGAAAATAAGTTGGTGATCATTTCGACATAGCGCTCGGAGTTCACGGTTACAGCATTGCCATTACCGTATTCGAAGAAGTGAGGGCCGATGGTGCATGTTTGCGATACACCGCACCAAACCGTCACTTTTGTCAGGTCTTTCATGTTACTGTCGCGGATTTTCATTAGCCTAATAATGACAATTCTTCTGGTTAACCATGCTATTAAGATGAAAGTGAGCTTCATCACTCATGATGAGGTTCTCATTTTGCAGGCTACCTTTGACCATTTTAACGATCCCGTGACTATGTTTGGGTTTAGTTTCTTCCTTCGATAGAAGGATTACAGAACACCTTTCGTTTCACCATGTACTGGTAGTGTTACTGGCGCAGCTACATATCGTCCTTGTTTTGACGCTATGTGCTTAGAAGTAGTTTTTACAGAATGTGGAAAAATTGTTAGATAGGTTTCATCATAACGACGATATATCGAATTCACCAATGAACCTGTTTGTTTCACCCTATCTTCAAACTCTGGTATGGTTTATACGGGCACTTACATTCGTCAACCGATCAGCAAATAAAACAAATTGCATATATAACATTTTATTTCAGCAATAAAACCTATAAGTATGTAACGCTAACTGTAATAGCTAAAAATCGTAATAAAAAAATATCAATCATTTAGGAAAGCACTTTTGTATAAAAAATAATAACTAAACTATAAACTAAGTTTGCTTAAGAATTAGAGAGATTATTTTTGGAATACTGAACACCAACTCAATGTAACCTTAAAATATATGTGCATCTTTATATCAGTCTTGGGTGCTGTTTTAAAACTAATTCAACTTATGAAAGAAAATTATCGCAACAATGTTACTATTTTTCTGGAAAAAAAAGGTTGGTCTTAGTAGAAAATATAACATTTCTTCGCCACCTAATGTGGTGATATATCCAATATCATTCTTTCCCAACAAAATTGTCTAGCAGAGTCATTTGTATGTCCTCAGTTAGAAATAATGTCAATTCTTACTATATGATTATCTGATCTTTGTGTACTGAGAGATAGTACAATGGAAATAGTTTATAAAAATACTGGAGACAAAACAGTATAATTGTACCAATAACGAGTGCGTCTTCAATAAATCATTCATTACTAAATTGCCACTGAGGTTATGCAGATGTTCCAGTTATATTGACTGGTACTACACTCACTATGACTAAAAAAGCTTTAGTTTTAAAACGAATATTTTTGGATGAACGACATACTTTATAAATACAATGTATCAATAACGAGTGTATTTTCAAAGAATTACAAATTGATATTGAGGTCATGTAGATGTTCCATTAAGGTAGATTGAAATTACACTCAGTATGACCAAAAAAATTCGTTTAAAAAACAGTTTTCTGAAATAAAAACCGTATATTTAACTGTTTGAGCCGATGAGATATTGTAAATTTTAAGGATCAACGATGAATAAACCTAGCTTATAAAAACATAAATTCAGCCAGAAAAAACTACGAAATATACTTAAGACTATATGAGGCCTTAAATAAAAGTATATAAAATTAAGATATGCATCAAATATATTTACTATTCCAAGATTATAGATTGAACATCTTGCAAATTCAAGTACTTCTAAAAATTAGAATTCAAATAAAATTGTTAAATGCGTTATTCAGGATACTGAAAAATTATACTTTTAAATTTGCCTGGAATTTATAGTTGTATATAAATTTAATATGTGCGAGCCTGTATATTATATAATTTGTAAACAACATGTACCCTGTTCTTATTAAAAACATCTTAAACATTGGAATTTTTAATAAGCTTTAACATGTGGAGACATAATATTTGATTGAGGATCCTATTTCTGAATGTTAAGCTCTAACTTCAATTTTTAAATATGCTTGGAATCATCACTTGTATAAAACAATAAAAAAATCACAGGACACAATAATCAGAAGACCATAAGCTAGTCCGCTAAATCAAGTGTGTATGTACACTCAAATCAATGTTTTGTGATACTCATGTTTGTATTACAGTGATAGTGGATTATTCCATCCACTCGTTTGTACCTCTTAACCTACATTTTAGCCCTGTTGAGTTTGAATATGTATGACGAGTTGAAGCGTTGTTTGAACGAGTACCGCTTCTTTTCCAGAAATTCTTTAATTGTGTTACTTTCAGAATCGTTTGTAGTCAAGTGTACACCTATGACTTCTATGCGCACCCTGTCGTATGGAATCGTTTCCAATACTTGCAGCTCTGTTCCTGGAATTTGAAAAAATATTGCTTTAATTTTGATAGTTTTTTGCTACCGCATTTTATTTATTCTTTACAGACACAATCTCGTAAAAGGAAGCAAAACAAAACAAAATATAGATCCACCAATTTAATACTTTCATAAAAAACATTCATATCTTCCAATACCTGTATTGATCTTTATATCCTCTAATATAACCCTAATCCTTAGTTGCTTCAAAAACTACTTCAAAATCATTGTGGTTAAGTGTGTGATCACAACTAGAACTGTAACAGGTCCAAATGCCATTTCAATTCAATTCCTTTCCTGTCAGCAAAATCTTATAAAGCACATGGTAACGTCAAAAATAAGTATTATGACTAAATATAACATAATACAAGTCAGATTTAAAAACTACACTACTCAAAAAAATTGAGGGAGCAAGGAAAAAATCCAAATTTTTCGGTGATTTTTTTGGTGAAAATTTTTTTTTTTATACTCCAACTACCACGAAGGCCTAAGGCCTAAGCACCCATTGGGTACCGTGGGGCTATAGGGGGATACATGGGAAAGGGGGGGGGGGGGGGCGCCACACGGACTCTGGCGAGGGAACACGTGTGCATGCAACATGCACACATTCTGGCTCCGCCTACGAGAACCGCCGGGTGGTACCTTCGCGTTCGACAGTCAGAGACCATCTACCACCTACGGACAATTACAACATCCACAGCCAAGAGAAAAATTTCTCCTGGGACGGGACTCGAACCCGCACAGCGCACGGCGACTGATCAGGAGACCGAAGAGTCTACTACTGCGGCCACCGCTGCTGCCTCATGGTCGTATCTAGACTTTAAAAAGGCATTTTGAAACTTCAAGTTTCTAGGTATTTTAGCAGAAATTCTTTAGGAGCAGTTCTCATGCAATTCTAATAGCGCAATGAAATTGTTTTGCCTCCATGAGCTTGAAATGTTTTTTCTGTTAGGATATCATATGGATCAGATATGTCGTTTATTCGGCCTCAATATCCTGTTTTTAAAATCTCGATACGATCATTCAGCGCGGAGATATCTGAGTTTGAATGAAACAGGATCCTTTTGTCATCAACCACTAATATCTTGGAAACCAGTGATCGCACCGAGAATGTAAGGGTATTTCCGAAAACTGGAAGAAACCGCCTATAAGATTTGATTGCAATCTTTGTTTCCTTAGTATTGATTTTAAAGGAGTCCAAAAATTTACTTTATGCCTTGTTTTGGAAAATCGACCGCATTTTTTGATCTGCTAAAGAGAAGGTTAATGTTTGTAGATTTTTCATACCTCAATTTACCTGTAATAACAGGTAAAAACATGGTTTGATCACGAATACAGAGCTGAACTGGGGAAAAATGAAATAAAATTAAAGGCAATAAAAGAAAATACAGAAGATTTAAGAAAATAATACCCAGAGTAAAGGAAAAACAAAAGTATTGCTGAGAAATTGAAGAGAATTCGAGCTGAAATAGGGAAAAATTACAAAATGGGGGAAAGGAAAGGATACCCAAAACCATTATATAGTAGGAGAAAAAAAAACAGGTTTTAGAATTGAGGAAAAATTACTTAGCTCTCGAATATAGGAGAAATAAAGACCACTGAAGAAGAAAAAGTGAGAGAGATGATGAAATCCTACTAGAAGGTATCGACGAAGCATCAACATTGAAATGCGAGAAATAATAGGCAAATTAAAAAAAAGCACGTCACAAGAATCTCGAAAAAATAATCGAAGAAATTTGGATATATGAAAAAAATACCAAAAGGGTAGACATGCAATACTATGACTCATATATAAGAAAAGATAAACAAAGAATTGAGACAATAATTATTTGAATGAAAAAGATATTATTGAAGAAAACAGAAAATAGAATAGAGGTCAACAACAGACTATCATATACTTTTGTAGTTAGAGAAGGATTTAGACAAGGAGATCCACTTTCATCAGTCCTATCCAGTCTATCTCTAGAAAATTATGAGATGCAGAAATAAAAAGAAAATGATAACTATATCGTAAAAATATCTATTCTTGGCATTCGCTAAAGATTTACGAGATCATAACCAGGAGCAAGGAGGAATTGTGCGAAGTCACAAAGAGGCAGGAAGAGTATTAATGGCATATCCCAGAGAGATAAAAATGCAATAAAAAGGTTGAAGATGAGTCACATTCTGTTCATTATCATGAAATTTCTTGTAAAACTACCTGCACATGCAAATTATCAAAGCTTATGTCACATCCTTGACAATACTTATCAAAACTATTAGGCATTGTATTTATTGGAGACAGGTATGCTATATTTGAGAGTAGGTATTGCAGATGAACTCATAATGGGCTGATGCTGAGTAACCAGTATATTTATCCAATGAACTGACAGTTTAAGAGTGAAGTTGTGTCCAGAAGAGCAAAATTGAGTATACATACATTTTATAAGACCTATTTTCATCTATGGCAGCGAAATATGAATATCAAATAACGCGGAACAAAAGCAACTAGCTATTTGGGACAGAAATATCTCACCCAACATATTTGGTGAGAAGCCAGAGTACCAAGGATGGGGGTGAAGAACAAACAAAGAATTACTATGCCTCAATGGTGAACCTGACACAGTAGGAACAGTGAAAACTTAATAATAAAGGTGCGTGGGATATGTTCGAAGAATGACAGACCAGAATACAAAACAGGAAACTAATAGCTAAAACCAGGCAAAAAAGGAAGTGGAAATTGATATCCAATAACGGGTGGTAATCTGGAAAGCTAGAAGTAGGTGGCGCTAGTTAGGCTAGGGGTTATACCTAAGGTTATGAACAGACAAATATCAATTGCTGATCCAGCTTTTCACGTCAATAGACTTCAAAATGTGAATCAAATCTGTATTTTTCCCATAACCTGTCTATCAAATTTGACACCTTGACCCCCAACCACACAAATGCACATAGCGGGAACAAAATCGGACAATAATTCGGCCATAACCATAAGTGTTGAACAAGTTACCTCTCAAGCCATTGACCTATTAGTGCTAAACTATACCGGGTGTTTCAAATTCAAGCCTCACCATCGGGATCTAAGGACATTGTAAGAGATACGAAGTCACTTGAATGGGGGCAAAGCTGCATATTTAGGTAAAAAACCCGAATTTTCCTAAAATCATTTTAATCTTTTCCTGACTTTATTTGTAGTGGGATATCAAAATAAATTGCACATCAACATTGTCACTTTCTCTTCAAAATGGCGTAATTAGAATTTCTATATGATGTTCCGTCTCTTGTCCAATACCAACTTTATTTTTTATTATTGACGCCATATTGAATTTTTGCACAGATAAACAGAGTTTTTAATTCTGATTCCAAAAATATTTAATTCTCCATACATTGACAGTCATATCTTAGTTATTTGAAAAAACAAACTTTCCTAGGTAGCCCTTGAAATTATCAGATAGTCATTTGTTTCGCATTGCCAGATTCATCCCAAAATCATTTTTATTTTTCTTGACTCCATTTGAGATCGGATTTCAAAACAATATATATAATATTGTGTTTGCTACTTATTCTCCTGTACAAGATGGGATAGTCAAATTTTCAATGCGAGATTTCTTCGTTCAACTTCCATCACCAACTTTGTTTTTTCATATGCACTCTATATTGGTTTTTGTACATTTAAATGAACTTTTCACTTCTAAATTCAGAGATGTAAACATGGGGGATTATCAAAATCTTCAGCGTATATCGTTAATTCTGAGACTGTAAGCTCATTTTCTTAATATAAACATCTACGAATGCTAACAATGCCAAAAATAAATCCTTGAAATGCAGGGTGCTAGTATTCAATTCCGTCTGACACTAATACTCACCGCCTGTATCCAAACTGAAGTAATCAATATTAGTAACATTCATTGCAAGCATCAATGAATAGACTGGAAAGCACTTGACCCTCGTGTTGAACCAATCATCGTCAGAATGGATGCTATTTACCCTCACACCATCTGCGTCTTGATGCAAAGTGACTTCCTTGGGGTAGGATGTAGGGCTAAGGCAGGCATGCACTGCTTGTGATCGTTTTCTGTTATGTCTTCGGAGGATGAAGTAGTGTCGTGGGTCCGGTTGTACTAGCAAGCCAAACCAGTTGTGTTTGCGCTCCAACCACTCGGTCCTGAGATAATCAAATAAGTAGTAAAACAAGCTTATGAGAGATCGTCCGGTACAGAATTTTCACTGATACCATTAATTGGCCACTACCGATATATGATACAGGTTTGAAAAAAATGTTTTTAAAAAAAATCTTGTTTTTTTTGTGTACAACTGTTTTTTTTTTGTTTAAAACATTCAAATTTGGCTGAAAAAAACATGTTTAAAACACTGTCCTATATAATCTAGCAACGTTACTAAAGTTCCTTGAAAGTGTTACTATTTCTGATCTAGCTCTATCCGAGCACATCTCTAATTTAAAAGCGGACGTTGGAAAACTACCGTGCGTTGCGATCTCCAGCAGTCAAATGCGCGAAGTCGTAGCGTGGTGGTGTGTCTTGTTTTTTGTGCATTAAAGATCGGCAAATAAAGAAAGGCAATGGCAGGGAGGTGAAAGGATCTGGTGTGGAAGGAGACTGATGCCAAAGCAGGCTCGAAAATAAATAAATGAGCAAGATGTTTAACCTGCAATATGGAATAGTGCCACTGGTGGCTAGAATACGCAGGCATATTAAAAATTGTAAACAAACAAGGAAGTTTGTTACAAAAACAAAATATTCATATTATATTATTATTATATATCAGATAGTTCTGATACCGACAATGATGATGTTTCTGCCGAACCTATTTCCGCAAAGTTAAGTAGCTTGAAGAATTGTGAAAAAGATACATTTTTTTACTTGGAGTTCCGTAAAAAGTGGTGATAAAAATTTGTTCTATGTACTTTTCCTTGATTTTATATTTTAAAAATGCGGATTTAAGGATTTTTTGTTAAATAAGATAGGTTTATACTTTTATATTTTTTAATGTTATTATAAAAGTAAATAAAAAATATATATGATTATTCTGCTGCCTGTAGTGTACTAGTGTTAGAGTTCATTATTAAGTTCACTCGCTCGTTAAGAAACAATTTTTTTTCAACTAGTAATAGTTCCCTAGTTTCATGTTTTATTAATTAATAAAAAATAAAGTATATTTTTTAGTACTTATGTGTTTTAACCTATGGCAATCTTAGTTTCTTTTTGCAAAATAAAATCAATTTCAATCATACTTAAATAATATAAAAAAAACTTGAATAATTCACAAACGACAAAAAACAGTGTTTAAAACATGTTTTAAACAATTTAAAACAAGTTGGTTTAAAACACCTTCATTGTTTTAAACAGTGTTTAAAACACTTTTGATCAAAACATAACAACCCTGTATATGAATTCGGTTTTTTTAGTCCATCGCGTGTATTTTGTTCCGAGGTACTAAGTAACTTGAAATGTGTCATTTAGTCGCTTTTTGACATTATGTAGGTTTTTTATGATATTATGTAAGTTTTCCTAAAAGATGTCAACTTGAAACTACCTATCGTTCACTTCATGCTTACTTGTAGCAAGCGCGGAACTATTTGCACATAAGCCTACATATTCAAAAAGTTGTCATTTTATCGATTTTTTTACATTATACAGGGTCTTAAGTATGTACCATAAATTTAACAGACGATTGTTTGAGTAATTTTATGACAAAAAGTTCATGTACACATAGGTCCGCAAATTCTTCGTTAGCAAGATACAAACAAACCAAAAATGTTTTTTCGAAAATACCTCATAAATTTATATCCTTTACCTAATTTTGTTGTAATTTGGCGGTGGTATTTATAACATTAAGGAGCTAATTTAGACCTAACATGATTAAATTTATTAAATCCACTGGCGTCTCGAGCGGGATCTGACCCGACTTTTGTGCAAGTTTATTTCTTTGGAGTAAGCAAATAGAAATACAACTTTTTTGTCTCTTCAATTTTTTTCGCATCTTGCTTAGTTTTCGAGAAAAAAAGTCCACTTAGTTGCGTACCCTGGACCACACAAAGAATATCTAGAAAAGTTTCTTTTAATTTACAAAAGGAAATAATTTTTTTATATATTTATTACTAATTATGTAACAACAACAACAAATACCAAATAATATTAACATATTAGTAAAAAAATTATAAAAACTAATTTTAAATTTCTATGTTTATATGAACTTTTTGTCTTAAAATAACCCAAAGAATCGTCTGTTAACTTTTTGTCTTAAAATTACTCAAAGAATCGTCTGTTAAATTTATGGTGCATACTTAATTAACACCCTGTATAGGTTTTTTGCGTAATAACCCTGCGGGTGTGTTCTTGGCAGGAGGAGTAAGTAGTATACATGACTTTGTACCCTGGTTTGAGTGGCATCTAATGATTGCGCCGCCCTCTAATGGTATTTGAGATTCATTTGATAACGTTACCTACAGGGGTGCGTTTGTAAATGTAATACCGTACACAGTAATGGAATATAGATTGACAAATGAAATTTTACTCTGTAATACTGTGAAAGTTCATTTTTAGGACGCCTAAATGATACTTGATGACAGCCGATGAATTTCTAACCACATTTTCTGTCACCATTGTCTTTATTATAAGAAACGCTATGGATAAGAGGTAGCATTTACCGTGGAAATATACCAAGTGACATATAAACTGCAACACCCAGAATTATTTATGGAATTTTGATAAAAACTTGAAAACATATTTGCTATCATGGAAGTATACGCTGATAAAATGTTGAAGGCATTCCGAACCGTACTTTTTTGTAAAGGCTTTTTTTGTCATATCAGGATCCGAACAATATGAACATGTTTACTTAATATTCAGTGATTTTTCTGTATTGGTTCCATTTGTTTCATTGTTGTTTCACAGCATTATCATGCCTAGAGCTTGCAGACGCGCTAATTGCATTCAATTTTCCGAGTTTGAAAGGAATCGGATAATCGGGTTACGTGAAGACGGATTTTCTTTTTCAGAAATCGTTGATAGGGTGAATCGAAACGAAGCTACTGTAATGGGACGTTGTCGAGCGTGGTTCCAAGAAGGCCGAAATCGTCGAGTTAGAAGTACTGGACGTCAAAGACAGACTACAGAGCGACATCGTTATTTGAGGCAACTAGCACTTAGGCCCGTTGCTACAATTGTAGGGCGCCTTTATGGCCTCCTTGATTGTCATAGTTTTCTACTTTTCCGTGACAGCGCTCTATTTTGAGGTTATGTCACAAATATCTATTTGCATTAAATTGTGCTTGCTTTTGAGTTATATCATGTTTTATCAGCCTGAAATTTTCTACAATTTAAAAAGAAAACATATCTTCACAATAGGAGAGCGCTGACGCTGACATGGGACAGGTGCAATCTAGAGATTTTTGAAGGAGAGAAAGGAGTATGACAATCAAGGAGGCCATAAACGCGCCCTACAATTGTAGGATCGACTGACGATACGGGCCTTAGAGATCGATTTTCCACAACAAGGGCAGTTGCGAACTAGTGGTTTGATGCTGTTGGAAGGGCAACAACAATGAGGACAGTTTATAGCCGAATAAGGTCTTTTGGACTATTTTCATACCGTCCTCATCTTGTACTACCTCTGACCACACAGCATCGTCGGCAACGATTGGTATGGAGTAAGGAGAATATGGAATGGAACTCAGTCGTGTTCAGCGATGAGTCCAGATTCTGTTTGGGCACACACTATGGCTGTGCAAGAGTAAGGAGGAGATGTGGCATATTCATCGCACTGTGGGTGTTATGGTATGGCGTGCCATCCCTCACGGCAGCAGGTCACGATTAGTGTTCAATCGAGGTAGTATGACTGCCCAGTGCTATATCCACGAAGTTTTACAACCACATCTGCTTCCTTTTTCCTTTTTGGAGACATTGCAAGTACCACTTTTTCAGCAGGACAATCCTCATGTCGGACGTGTTAGTTTGGACTTTTTAGGAGCGTCCGGAGTACACGTGCTTCAGTGGCCTCTTCGATCTCAAGACCTTTTCCTCATCAAACATTTATATGACATGATGGGAAGAAGGTTGCAAAATGCACTGTACCCTCCACAAACATTGGAGGCTCTACGAAACCAAATTCAGATGCAATACGTCAAGAAGACATCAAACACCTAATCCAATCAATGCCGTGACGATTTAACGAATGTGTAGCTATCATAGGAGCTTCAACACATTCTTAACATTAAGGTGGGGATATCTCAGCTATTTTGCGAAATTTCGAGTTAAAATTTTAATCACTTTCTATTTATAGACCTAAAAGGTAATAGGTACGTCAAACAATTACAAACTCTAAAACTGTTACAGTAGTACAAAGTACACTCTAACAATTTAGGAACGCAGCCCAGGTTATTATTTGCTCATTTTATAGTTGCCACTGCTCATCCCCGGAAGTCGCAACTTATTTTTTCAAATACATGTAAAACGAATTGTCAAAGATGCACTGTCAGCTGGAAGTAATTTGATCTAGATTTAAAATAGTACCCAGGTAATTAACAGAAGCAATTAGCAGAGCAGACCGAGAGTGCCCGTCAAGAGATACAGATACGGCGGCAGTATGGAGACGGTCAAGGTGTCAAGCCTGCTGGTTATAAGGAAAAATGAGTTTCTTTCTTTTTAATTCAATTCAAGTAGTTGTTGAAAACACATGCTTGATGTAAATACCTGTCACAGAGTATTGTTATTATTGTGCATTGGGAATATTGCTTTATTATTTAGTGTGGCTTATAATCTGTATTTATTATTGTCAAAGATGCCTTTCGGTCATTTTAGCAATGAAGAAAAGTTTGACATGCTAACGTGCTATATTTTGTGTAACAAAAATACTAAAAATACTGCAGAAATGTATCTTGATAAATTTCCCGAAAGAAGGCAGCCAAGTAAGTCCATATACTCAGAGTTGGCTGAAAATTTAAATGAATATGGTTCATCCGAAAAGCAGGTAGTTGTTTCTCCTTCCAAATAGACACTAGGTTTGGGTTGTACATGATCAAAATGAGATTAAAAAATGGGTTAGTTACAGAATATTGTCTGGGTTTTGAAAGGTATTTCCACGAGTAGCAGCTCTCCTTTTACACTAGAAATTGTACCCCTTTGAGTCGCATTTGGCATTTGAAATCTGGCAATATCAGACAGCCTGTGAAAACAAACATTCAATAAAAATCTACATTCAGTAAAATATCTCGGAACTTTCATGTTTGCGCTCATTTTCAGTCCCATTTCTTTAATCTACATCCAAAAATTAGGGTCAAAAATAGCTGGTGTTGCTAAACTAGAGAATTACTGAAAAGTCTGTTACGTCTCGAAAAAAGGAATCTTTAGTAACAACTCAGATATGTGTTTTACATGCAGTTTCTCAGAACTATAACATATTATTAAATTGAGAAAAAGGTAGTAGTCACATCAACAGCCCAATTTATTTTGCGTATAAATAGATATCCTCTTATAAATTGAGGATTTGCCAAGGACTAGGTGATAGCGAGTGTGAAGATTTTAATTTCCCTTCAAAACTAATATGGTCAGACTAAAGCATGGTCACTAATAATGGTATTCTTAATTGCTGCAACACTCATTACTGGGCTGACAAAAGTCTATCTGCGGGCTAAAAAAGTATCCAGACATCAAGAACGTTTTGAGTTTAATATGTGGTGTGGGATTTTATCACCCCAAATATTAAGTCCCTCTCTCAAAAACGAAACGTCACGCACAAAATTTAAAAACACCAACATGTAGTCCCTAAAAAGTGCTAATGGAAAAGTTTCATTAGTTTTTTTATATTTCATGAAATAATGTCGCAAAAATATAAAAATTATTTGGCCAAATTTTAGTTTTTTTCCAAATATCTCAGTGAGCCATGCAATTTTTTATCATTCTCATAAAACAGTTATGAATTACAACATTAAAAGCAACAATTACCTGGATGTTTTTCCATCACTGTAGGCACCAGCCTCCACAAATGACCCTCCCTGTTTATTTTTCAATAGCTTTAGCACATATATAGTGTCCTGCAAAATTATGTCCTCAGTCTCAAGAGGCTTATGGTTAGGCTCAATTGCTGGAGACAAATGCACTTCACGAATATATGTAATCAGCTGAGCATTGTCTTGCGAGATGCCAAACAACTCGTAGTCTTGGCTCATGTTCACTTTGAACTGATAGTGTCTCATCGCTGTATTGTCCATATACACAATCAGAATAGTCATTACTGTAGTGAATGCCATAAAAAAGGCAGCTACTGGTAAGAGCTTCTTAGTTATCCCGGCGGTTGTCTCATAGTGCTTGGTTTTGACTGCCGGTGGGACATCCAATGGGGGTTTCTGGATGCTCTGATGGGCTTGTGTATGTGATGCCATTTTTATAGTCTTTTTTTAAATTCTATCTCTGAATTCTTCTAAATAAAATATATGGAGTTATTCACATTTTACGCCGTAACGGAGCTGAGCATTTGGTAGACTCAGCAAATGCAACAAAATAGAAATATAATTTCTAATAGGTTTTGATCTAAAGAAAAAAAAAATAAACACAAATGTGTGAAGAAAAATGTGGAGAAACTAGAAAGAGAAAGAGAAAAACATGACATAACAATCATGACAACTGACAGGGCTGACAAACACCAGCACAAAACATACTAATCAAATCCAAGCGAATAACCAAAATTTCTGTGTTATGTGCCGCGGTTATAATATGGTTCAAGATGACACACGGGTTGATGACGTCAGTTACAGTCGCTCGAACGCGTTGGTTTTAACCGCGGTTTTGTTGCAAGTTGTTTATTTTAGAAAAGCGCGTATATAATCTCTGGTTATTTTTATTATCACTTAATAATCGTTGCTTTTTCGTCTGCAACTGTATATGGAAAGTCTCTAAATTTTTCCGCATGTCAAAGAAAACATTTATTGATTCAGCAGAAATGATGAAAAAAGAAATTAGCAAAACCGTATACAGGTGGATATCATCTAGTGAGTTTATCTGGTCATATTTTAATATTCTTGTGGTATATGGCTACACAGGATACTTTGTTAAGGATAGGAACTACATTTAAAGTGTCCCCAACAACCGTAATGAGTATAACTAATAAGGTGCTCCACTTTATGCTAAAACTGAAGTCAGCCTGTATCATTTTTCTCAAAAATGAAGCTGAAGTACAATAACAATATCCAATACCCGGCAAAATTCTAACTTGTCACATTTCAAATAATAACCAGAAATATAAAACTACTCTTATGTTGGGTAAATACCACAATTTTGCGGTGATAACTATGACATATAACAGCTGATTCGTGACGTCACGGATCTTATAACCAAACTGATAACTACACTCGCTTGAACGGATTGGTAAATATCAACCCAAAATGGTAAATACCATTTCCATTTGGTTATCCGCTTGAATTTGATTCAGTCTTTTTTTCACCTGGGTAATTATTCTTTCTGTGTCCAAGACACTATCTGGACGGTCATCCCTGGTGGACAATTCGTCATAGGTGCGTACACGTTCATTCGTGTCCATGTGATTTATTTTGATTTGCGATAATCGCGTCGCTTGCTGAATAGAACTGGTTGCATTTTTTATCCGTGGCGATGATTTAGTCGCATATGTGCGCATTTGTATGAAAATACTGTGTGCTTCACTTTTGCGACTAAACGATCGTGCGACCGAAAATCGCGTGTGCGCGCTAGGCGCGTGGTTTACTCAGAGCGGTCAAACGTCGAAACGCGATCCTGCCGCAATTCCGTATTCCGTGTTATATGTTTTGTTTTGTGGACGCAATTCTTATGTATATGTTTTGTGCAATCCAGAATCCAGAATCCACCCCCGCGAAAGACTCCAAATGTCAGATATTTCAGATATTTGTTGTTTTGATGATTTTGTTGAGATTTTCAAAGTTTTGTAGATTTTTTGCATCAGTTTTTCCATCCTGGATCCAGCACCGCCCTTTTATCAGCCTAGCAAGAGTTATGTTTTTTTGAAACATCGACTGTGTAATATATATCAAGTTTAATACCTTCAGAATTATGGCCTTCTATAGAACTGTGTTTGTAATTTAAATCGGGCCGAACTTAGGAAGTGATCTAACGCAAAGATACAATGGCTGGGATAGTTCCCAAAAAACAGGGCTCAGGGCGAAAGCAATGGACCTTACATGGTAATTTTCTTTCACTTCATTTTGCCCCAACGAATCAAACTGCTACATCAAATACATCCCAATACTTGTAGGTGGTCAGAAGAACTCGCTTAAGAGATTGAGAAGCCAGATGGCTTCTGATGGATGCCCTGAATCACAGGTTGTTTTAGCCAAGCAGCTCTTGGAGGAGGAATGTGGTATGTCAGCAAAAAGATCTCTCAAAAAAGTATTCAGAAAACTACTCTCAATATATTGCAGCTTTTCTCATCCGAGTTGAGTGTTTGCAAGACAGTATTGTGTAATAGGTATTATTGATACTGACCACATTTAGCCAACATAAAGCAGTCCAGCACTTTTTAGACCTATTCATACTCAGACGTGACAGTGCTGTGACCGGCACATGATCCGCCTGGCGAAACTAAAAACATTCTTCTCGGAATTTGGATAATCTGATTCACACTAGACTGCCAAGTGGAAGTGGCCAGTGCTCTGGACGACGCCGTACCGTTATCACCGCATTGTTTTGGAATAATATTTTTCGATTTGCATGGAAGTGTCTTTATGTGATTTCGTGAATATTCTGATATAATTGGTCAAAAACATGCATAGAATGAAAGACTAATTGAATTTGTATGCATACATCCCGTGTTGTAGAACCAGTCGAATTCAAAATACATGGACTTCCGTTTTCTTCTAGTTTCTTCTTCTTCATCTTTCGTAGGTGGTAGATGGTCTCTAACTGTCGAACGCGGAGGTACCACCCGGCGGATCTCGTAGGTGGGGCCAGAATGTGTGCATGTTGCATGCACATGTGTTCCCTCGTCCGTGTGGCGTCCCCCTTTTTCCCTGTGTTTCCTGCTATAGCACCATGGTACCCCATGGGTGTTTAGGACTTAGGCCTTTGTGGTAGTTGGAGTATATAAAAAAATCCAGAATTGATGCAACAGCTTGACAGCAGTTTACATTTGGCCTGTCAGATTCAATAGTTTATTGCATGGAGGGTATAAACCAGGAGAAGATATGGCGATGCTGTTCATGCTGTAAAAATGACCTGAAACTTGATGAGCGAGCTGCTTTCCTGACCCTGTTGAGTTACTCTGAGTAACTCAGTAGTGCTCAGCACCAATACTGTTCTACTGCACATTGTATTCTCTTGCATTGTTTGTGGAGCACTTTGGGAGCGTATCACTCTCAAACTCAATATTATGGCCATAAAGTTGTACAACAAGTTACCAAATTGTATAAAAACCTTACCAAATGTCTCTTTTTAAGGCAAAAATAAGGACAATTATGTTGAATAATGCTTTATATAGCATTGAGGAATATGTCTACTGTGTATTTGAGTGATGTTCTCTTTTGTATTCAACAACATCATATTGTGATGTTATGTTAGTCATTCTACTTGTTAGGTTTGTTTTATACATAAGTAACATGACAAACTTAAGGAGAAGGTAGGCTTTGGACTGACCTCCCAAAGAACAAAAACTTACCTATATAAAAGTGTTTTTGAGATATTAAATTTTTTCTTAAATTTTAAAAAACCGAACCTTTTCATCTGTGGTTTTTAGCTGCATGTACAAATAAGGTTATACTTTGTTCATTTTTTTCTATAAAATACTTCTAGATAATTGCTTTATCATATACAAATGCAATGTAGTTAAGAGATATTAAGGAACCATGATCAAATAAGGACTATTTTGGGATTTATAACCTTCTGATATTTTTTCTCCAACTTTTACCATCTGTGTTGAAACAAAAATGTACTGGGCTATAACTGCATTATATTGAATAAAAAAATTGCTCATTGAATACAGATTTCAGAAAGACACCACACATACTATTTGGAATAGAAAAAAGTGATAGCTGCTTTTGTAAGTGTCTGACACACCTCAAAGTAATTATTGGATTTAAATTCAAATTGCACTGGTTATCGATCAGTGATATGCTAAATAGTACAAAGCTACATTATTATTACCTGCTCCTATTATGATTTTATAAAAGTTGAGGAAACAATATCAGAAGGTTATAAATCCCAAAACAGTCCTTATTTTATCGTGGTTCCTTAATATCTTTTAAATACATTGCATTTGTATATGATAAAGCAACTATCTAGAAGTATTTTATAGAAAAAATTAACAAATTATAACCTTATGTCTACATGCAGCTAAAGACCACAGATAAAAAGGTTCGTTTTTTTAATTTTAAGAAATAATTCAATATCTCAAAAACGGTGACACTTTTATATAGGTAAGTTTTTGTTATTTGGGAGCTCAGTCCAAAGCCAACCTTCTCCTTAAGTTTGTCGTGGTACTTATTGTACACCTTGTATATAATATATATATATACAGGGTGTTTCAGTTTATTGTTGCATAACTTTAAGATTCGATAGAACTTTTAAAATTAATGCATAAAGTCTATATAAACATGGGTCGAAAAATGCGTGGCTTCCGAAATACAGGGTGTTTAAATTTACTTTCTAAAATAGTTTTTCTTAAATATTTCGAACAATATTTGAACTATAATAGTGAAAATTGGTATACAAGGGTTTTTTTGGTACGACAAAACGAACCATGGGCATAGTTTTACTGTAGCCGCTAGAGGGCCCTCTCTACTGTACCTGTAGTGTATTAAAATGACAGAAAGTTTGTTCTTAGTGCAATTTTTTGCTTTTTGAATAAAAAAACTGATTCTTCGTACTTTTCAACATAAAAAAGCTCTCTTGTAAATTTTCGTTATAGTTAGCCGTTTTTGAGATATTTCGATTTTTAAGGTTCGATGAATTTTTAATTATTTATGATAAAATAACGTCAAAAAGTCAGTATCTCGATAATTTTTAGAAGTAGGCTGTGCCTGTAAATATTTTTGAAATTGAAAGCAGAATAAGGTTAAACGTCAATTAGTTGACAGCTAGTTTTGTTGTCTGTTGAAACCTGAAACGTTTTTTTGCAATTGTGAATGCACAAAATTTAGTTTCTTTTACCTGTTTTTTTTTGTAAGTTTTATAAAAATACCATTTTTATTCTCCAATCAAGAGTTAGCGGATATTTATTTTGTGTATGGCTTTGTAAATGGAAACCCAGCAGAAGCAGCCAGAGAATACGCACGAAGATTTCCAAACAGACGACATCCAACTCGCTCAGTATTTGTAACAGTGCATCGCCAAATAATTGAAAATGGTTTTGGAAATCTCCAAAGGGATCAAAACATAAATGTTCGTCAGCGCAGATTTACCCGTATGATTCTGCGTGAGTTTGATCGAGATCCGACCACAAGTGTTAGGAGAGCTTCTGGTGCCTTGGGAATTTCAGCAAGCCATGTTCACCGTGTTCTTAGATATGACCATAGATGTCCTTACCATTTGCAACCTGTGCAAGGACTACAGCCAGAGGACGGATAACGAAGAATCACATAATAATAGGGAGTTTTTAAATAACGTTTTATGGACCGATGAGTCATGCTTCACTGGACGTGGAGTGGTAAATTTTCATAATCAACATATTTGGTCGCATGAAAATCCGCATGCAGTTCGGGAAAGAAATTTTCAGCATGAATTTAGTGTGAACGTGTGGATTGGTATCTACCGTAATCGACTATTTGGACCCTACCTTTTGCCTGCAAGGTTAAATGCTGCGACCTTCTTGGAATTTTTAAAGGCTGAACATGCAAATATGTGGGATGATGTTATGTTAGATTTAAGAAGATTGGCCTGGTTCCAGCTTGATGGTTGTCCAGCTCATTATTCGAGAATAGTTAGAAACTGGCTGGACGAAAATTATCCAGAAAGATGGATCGGCCGTGGAGGACCAGTCGCCTGGCCTCCACGATCCCCTGACCTAAATCCATTAGATTTCTTTGTGTGGGGATTTCTAATAGGAAAAGTATACCAGACTCCCGTAACCACAAGAGATATGCTAATAGACAGAATCAGGAATGCATCTGATGAAATAAGGCCTTATTTGAATAATGCTATACCACGTTCGATCAATCGTAGATGTGAATTGTGTATTGAACAATTGGGTTTACATTTCGAGCAACTACTTTAGATTTTGTATGTTTTTCCTAACTGTCTAATAGCATTTTAGTTGTAAATAATTAATTTAATTTGTTAAAAATAATATTGGAAAATTAGACAAATTAATATTCTGTTCTGTATTCTGTGTTTTTTTGTGTTTATTTGGAGTTAGGAATTATTGCTGTGTTTAAAAACACAATCTAAACGATCATCTTAATTACTTGTAATGCCCAAATCGAAAATGTAAAAAAAATATTATTTTTCCATAAATAATTAAAAATGCATCGAACCCTGAAAATCGAAATATCTCAAAAACGGCTAACTATAACGAAAACCCACAGGAGAGCTTTTAAATGCAGAGAAAAACTTTTTGGGTCATTTTAATACGCTACAGGTACAGTAGAGAGCGCCCTCTAGCGGATACAGTAAAACTATGCCCATGGTTCGTTTTGTCGTACCAAAAAACCCTGGTTTCCCAATTTTCACTTTTATACATCAAATATTGTTCGAAATATTTAAAAAAAACTATTTTAAAAAGTAAATTAAAACACCCTGTATTTCGGAAGCCACGCATTTTTCGACCCATATTTATATAGACTTTATGCATTAATTTTAAAAGTTCTATCGAATCTTAAAGTTATGCAACAATAAACTGAAACACCCTGTATATATATAATAATAATAATAATAATTTATTACCCTCATTAAACAGTATATACAAACAAAAAAAGCCTTAAGAGGATAAAGGGCTACATCAGCTTGCCCCCTAAAGAAGCAGCAGCTAGAGCAAAAAAAAGAAACAAACAAATTTAAGCAATTCTATAGTAAGACAAATGGCGATTAAGACATTGATAATTAATAGTGTTTTAAACTTAAGAAATGTAGTGAAGTATAGTAAGTAGAGAAATGGAAATTTAGAGTGAGAAGAGAAAGCGAGGGGAAAGAGAGGAAGAGAAAAGGGCGAGCAGGAGATGTGTTTTCTATGATATCTCAGACAGTAAATCACTTTTAAGGTTCCTCTTAAATGAAGCTACCGAGAGAGAAAAATCTTTTTTTTTTGAATTTATTTACCAAAAAGGCGATTTGATTTCTTAAATGATTCTTTATTGTGTGATGGTATTGTAATCAAATTCAATCTTCTAATGTTTAGATTATGTACATCAGCCCGGTAACTAATTTTTAAGTGAAGATAAGGAGGGCTTTTATATTTTATAATCTTGTAAAAAAAAGGAAGTAGAGTGCAAGGTACGCCTCTGAGCC